CTCCAACCTAAGAGCGATGGCCTTCAACCTAAGAGCGATGGCCTTCAACCTAAGAGCGATGGCCTTCAACCTAAGAGCGATGGCCTTCAGCCTAAGAGCGATGGCCTCCAACCTAAGAGCTATATAATTCTTTCATATATCATTTCTTTTGATTTGTTTGGGTCTGAACCCACGATCATCTCCTCGGGTCTCACAAGCGACACCATGATTGAAACCGAAGTCCTGAGGGCGATGCTTCGACAAACAAAGTAGAGCAGGGCTGAATCTTTGTCGACCGGGTTTGGTGCAAATCTTGGCACCGTTGAATTTGCAGCACTGGGGAATGAACGGGAATGAGATTTGGACTCCTTCCCTCCTTTGACTCCTTCCCTCCTTCGCCGTGGTTTTCGCCATGGCGCTCGAGGCGGAACAGCGGCTTGGGCTGGTCCAAGTGTCGTTCGAGGCAGTGAAGCAGGGAGCGACCGCCTAAGGCCTCGCACCCCGCGGTGCCCGGTGCAGTGCCCAGTGGCACTCCGAACTCCCTCAGCTAACATTGGATGTGGGAAGCATAGACGATGAAGCCCACCTTTTTTCATAGATCTGAAGGTGCCATAGATGATGAAGCCATCTCTTCTTTATCATCTTTATCCTGTTCTTTATCTGTTCTTTTGTGCTTGGGTTTTCATACAAACTGGGATGCTATGAGGTCGGATACGGATTTGATGGTCACCAATCCAAGATCTGAGCAAGGGAAAACACCCTCAGGGTCGGTTGAAGGCTGTCAAATCAGCTTGGAAATTCCGTTTCTGTCGTTTCACCGTACACATACTTGTAAAATAGGTCTGCTCTTTTTCGGATGATTTGTGAAGTTTCATGATGCTCCATGCTTGGATCAAATTCTATGAATGGTTGCAGGGTTGCATAGAGATTGCATTTGCTAAAAAAGGGATGCTTCATTCCCAGGATGCTAAGAAGGTACACAAGCAATATGATCATCATGTCCGATGCAGAGAGGCATACATTGACAAAGACATTTGGCCATCCGGGCTGGGCCGGGCTTCTATGAAAACAGGGAGACCTCCCAGCTCAATGGGTTTAGGTATCTTTAGGTGTGTTGTGTATTGTTTACATTTGCAGGGGGGCCAGGAATTCTTGGCCTTTCACTCTCAATACGCACCCAATTCACTTTTCGACCTCCGGTTGGATCATCCTACAGCTCCCCTACCTGAGTCAATTTGAAGGTCGACTCTCTCAGTTTCCCTGAACTGTTTCCCATCTGCTCTTGTTTCGTCCTCAAAAATCCCCACCAAGGGCTTCTCCATGCTTCTCCACATTCTTCCTGGGTAAGAAGAGCGATGGCGCATACCGTCGCAACAGCGCGTACGCGACCTGCAACGGCATCGACGGATTGGCGCCCGACATCGCTCGGCCCGACCGCCTCTTGAACTTGAGGATCGCGACCCAGGCGAACCAATGGCACCTCACTTCGGGGGAACCCGACTTCGGACTTCGGACGTGGACACCGGACAAACCACGGTTCCGTCGGAGGTCCATTGAATGGGTCAAGTACATGCTGTGCAGAAGGCGTCATGGCTGCGACTGAGGTGGTCCCTCGTTCGCTCCTTGCACCTGTTCAGGGAACACAGAGAACACCTCGAAAAGGGTCACTCTGGGCGCGAACCAGAAACCAACAGATTGAGTATAGGTCCTCGTCTTTGTGAAGAACATGTCATGTATATGCGTGTATGCGTGTGCGTAATTACTTAAATAGGGACACTGCCCAAAGACCCCCTGAAGGGAGGAAGATAGGCCAGTCTATACCCATTGGTTCGGTGTCTCCCTCTCAAAGAACACACACCCATGTGAGCAACTCTTCAATCAAACCACCTTCTGGCTCCCTGTCTTTTGCATCATTTGCTGGATCTTCAGCAGCAGCAAGTCGATGAAGCTTGTGTCTTCGTCCAGCACATCTGCACGGCGCAGTGAAAAGCTGGGCTGGGAGTGCAGTTACTCCAGATACAAATTGACACAAATCGAAGCGATCAAATCCGTTAAGCAGTTTCAGTGTGGCAGCCCCGATCTATGTTTGAGGTACACGTCATTACACCTCCGAGCCCTGCCCCAAAAGGAATGGTCCTTGACCTGGAACAAGGGTTCGTCTTCTACATTTCAGTTGCGAGGCCACTTCCCGCGCCACCAGCCCCAACCTTGTGGGAGGAGGAGCACTTGGAACTGACATGAGCAGCAGTCACCATTGGCACAAGGTGTGGAATCCTGTCCTTGGCTCGGCTGCTCCAACGTAGCAAGAGAGTCTAAGTTATAGCCTAAGGCTTAGCTTCCCCAAGCTCGACATAGAAAAACCTCGAAAACAATGGCCGCGCTGCGGCCTCCATGCTCCAACTGAAACTTCCCAGGCCGATCACGGAGAAACTGCAAAAGATATGCAGCATAGGTTCTGGCATGTGCAGACACAGGGCACCCTCGCGGCATCTCACTTTCGACTCCATTCACTGGACTCCCATTCATCCTTTCGACTTGGATGAGCTCCGGCACCGGGAGAAAACGCACCACCGCCCCAATCCTCCGCCGCAGCTTCCCGTTGTGCAGCAGGTATCGCACCTGCGTGTGTTGTTCCGGCCTTTTGGCTCGCAGTGTGTTCTGCAAGTCCCGCTCCAACGCCCGCAGCGCATGCACGCCTCGTTCCGGCGCGCCCTGGCCACCCAAAGCACCACTGGGCGCCCGACCCAGCCCGACCGTCGGTGGCCCAAGCTGAAGGTCCACCACTTCAAGGGCATGGCCGCCAGAGCGTTCATGGATTTGCACGAGGTGTGGGAAGGCTTGGAGGAATTGCAAGAGCTTCTCATCGCCCATGCGCTTTCGGAGGTCTGGGCGTCCATAGAAGAGGTGATTGGCCATCAATCGGCCGCCATGACGCTGTAGCTCGGAGACAATCTCCAGAGCCAAAGCTGAAGAGCCATGGACCGTTGGTGGCATGGCATCTCTACAGAACTGGTCACAGAAGAACAGGTGCAGTGCAGTGCGTGGAGGTTTGTTGTGATTGGTGAAGGTTTCCTGCTCTGTGCGGTACACCACATGCTGAATGCAAACTACCAATTGCTTGAATCTTCGCACTGGTATTGGTGGAATGAGCGACTGTTGTTCCAAAGTGGATGAAGGCGATCTTGCCAGAATGAATCTCCTCCATAGCAATGTCACTTTGAGCTTCATGGCCAGCTGCTAACTGGACAACTACTTCGACCAGCGACACCACTCTCTCGTGCCCGGAATCCGAGCGGCTCCCAACACTGAGCCGCCTCTGGCTCGTTCTGCACTGAGACCTTGGGAACGTCTCAGAACGTCTAGCTGCTACGAACAGGCACCGAACACATCCCCTGTCAACTGCACCACAAGATTGGTTTGCTTGGGCAGGCCAATCAAAGGATAAATCGTTTTGAGCCAGGTGGCACCCCAAATGGGAACTCCAGCCAAGGACATCTCCTGCCACAATGAAACGTTGAAGGAGTTATGCATAATATATATACATGTAATAGTATATACATAAGTTGTGAATCTAAAGACTGCGCTGCGGATCCAACGCGACTTGCCAAGACTTTGCAATCCCTTGTGCTACTCTAGTTCTTTCATGTCCTTTCATCTTCCTTCGAAATCACCATGACACGGAAGTGTTCGTCCGGGCCCCGTAAACTGAGCCTTCACGAAGCGCACAAAGTGCTTCGCCCAAGCATCCCGGCCTCGGTGCGATCAGTTGAACGACAGCTGCTTACAGTCGAAAAGGGACCTTTAGTGGCAATGAGTTGAACCTTTAAAGGTGATTGATGGCCAATGGCATGCCATGGCATGCCCTAGGTCAAGCACCTGTCATGGATCTTGGGCCTTGCGGACATAGTCTTGTGAAACCGATGGACATCGTGCAAGCAGGCGGGCGTCCCATGATGTTCCGTTGTGCAAACCTTGTGGCAAAGAAATTGCCCTTTATGGCACACAAAAACCATGCCCAAGTTGTGTAGTTGTGCCCAGTTACAGTCAGTATAGCCGGATGTCAGCTACATTTACAGGTTTAAAGTTTTGCATGCTCAGTCTTCACGTATACTTTTCTTTTCAATATACTTCTCTTCTCACCGCCGCAAATCATCGTTACAGTACCACCTGATGACTCGATCGCCCTTCGCTTTGGAACCCCGAAGTCAGGTCTTCGCTCGCTGAGCCGAAGGCCGAAGGCCAGGTCTTCGCTTGGGGTTCCCCGCAGTCAGACCGCAAGTGACCTGCCATTTGGAAGGTCTATGCTCCTATGCCCACCAAACCTGGTCGGAATTGTCCGGCCCTGGCAGAACAGGTCATTACTCCAACATCTTTGTTTGAGGCTTGAGGGGGTGCCTTCCATGAGGTGTCCGGTTCCGATCTGCACTTCTGTACTTGTCGCTTCGCCGCTTCGCCTTCGCCGTTGAAGCTCTTCACGGTCTTCATCCAGGAAGGGGGGCTCCAGGGGCTTGCCTTGTGGTGATCGTTGTCCAAAACAAGAGCCGTCTGTCCATGGTCTGTCCATGGTCCAGCCACGAAGATGATGTTTGAGGGGTTACCCTAGGGTGCCTCCCCGCGCGACCGTATTGGCCAAACTAACAAATGTCTGGTTTGGCAAATCACGAAGGCGAATGCCCTGATCTGTTGATCCAACGCGAGCAAGCGCCTGCTGATTCGATACCCAGTGACAAGGTCACCACGGGAAAAATACGGGAGGCGACCGAGTTCCTTAAAAGACAACTTCGACCCAATAGGAGCACGGCAGGCTGCGAAGGTGTTTCCCCTTTGCTTCTGTCAGATATTGGTCGAACATGGTCGAACAAGACCAGAGAACCACACGTTCCAGCCGGCCGCCTCATGTTTGAGTTGTGCTTCTTGAGACCGTCAGAAGGTCTTTGATCCCAGAGACTCCATGTCTATACATTGAACTTAAGTATGTGCTGAATCCACTGGTTTCCAACCAAATCGAAATGAATTTTCACCCCAGATTCCCAACTTAAGAAAGCACGCAATTCTTACCGAGATCCAGTAATTCCACAAGTTGCACAGGCAGAACACTCAAAAACCATTTCCAACAAAAACTAGAACTTGTAGAAGCCTCTAGTTTTGCTACAAAGCGGGAGAGCTGGTGTAAGCAACCCGAGGAGCAGAAAGAATTCTTCCATCAAGTTGATGCAAGAAGTCCTGCATCACCTGGAACCTCGAAACATGTATTATATACTTGGGCGAATCCGCATGGATGCGCATGCAAGGTAGCGTATACAAGCCTTGCATTGAAACACTTTGCAAACAACGCAACATCGGAGCAAGGCCCGCCAAATGCACTGGAGCGAGGCACGAGCACTTTGAGGTTCACATGCTTTTGGGCTGCTTGCAGCATCGGGAGGATCGCTTCCTACGAGATGACAAGAGGAAATCCACAAGAGGCATCCCTCCAAAATCCACAAGAGGGTGGTCTTACAGTCGAAGGACCTTTTGGAAGTGTGGCAAACATGGGTTTCCTCAAGAGGGAGCCAAGTGGTCAGGGCGCGAGGGCGCGACGCTTCGCTCAGCGGCTTGCCCGCGGCTTGCCGCGACGCTTCGGCTCCTCGTAGCGTTCTAGGCTGAAGCCCTTCAAGTCCATATCTCCTTTCAACATCCGACGGCTCGGTGGTGTTCCATCAAGCCTCATGCACCAACTCAACCATCAGCTTCTAGACTCCACTTCAATTATGAGCTTCTGGACATTTGGTGGGCAACCTATTGGCCAAAAGCCAAGCTTGAACTTCTCTCCAGATGAGGGTAAGGCATTGCATTTTCATACCCCACAACTGGCGCCACGAGTGGCGCAGCTCCTTCAGAGATGTCTCCACAGGTCCAGTTCTCCAGGGAAGAGTCACAAGATCCAATCGGCACACGTCCTGGTGACAGGGTGATTTCTGGCGAAGGCTCCGAGAAAAACATCTGCAGTCTTACATTCATGTGATTTGTCTGCAGGAAAAAACCTTCTCCCAACATATTGATTTGTAAAAAACAGTTCTCAAGCTGACAGAAACCAGGAAACACTTGACGTTTTTTTCTCGATATCGGTCCATTATTTCCTTTGCTCGGAGAAAACAAACACATGACCTATTTCTCCTCCATTTTTTGTGTTAGCCTTAGAATGGTTTTGAGCGAAAGAAACGACATACGCAACACATACCGAGTCGTTTCGTCTGCGTACCAACTCTCGGCACACGGGACTCGGTCCCAGGTTGAAGCCCAGCCCACTGCTTGGATGAAAATAAGCCGTGATGATCTCCTGCCGTCGGCCTTGTCGCGACGGACAACCATGGGATCTGTACCGCGCGTCGATATACGCCGTTGAAAGAGCGGATCAGAGGTCAATCTTGTCCGAGTCTTTTTGGGGTTCTTTTGCAGAGGGGTCTCTTTGGAAGAAGGCTCTGCAAAGTCAGCTTCCGCAAAGATCAGTTCTCCCCAAGTCAAAAATTTGTTTGAAACAGTCTGACTCTCGATTTTCGGCAATCGAGATCAAACGTTGCTGCGTCTAGTATGTTAAACGAGCACTTCCCAGTTTCAATAAATCTATAACCTTGCCCTCGCAAAAAGAAACAACTGAAGAACAATGATATATATATATATAATATATATATATATGTATACTGCTTGCCCTCGGAACAACAACGACGACGACGACGACGACAACAACAAACACAACCACAACCACAACCGCAACCGCAACCGCAAACGCAAACGCAAACGCAAACTGAAGAACAACACCTGGTGCCGATCTTGTTCACTCCATCCCGGCCGGCGACAGCGACCAGATCCGAGAGGCGCTCGGTGAGCTTCCTCCAGGTGACCGCCGAGGCCTCGGAGGCGCGGCGGATGGAGTGGGATGACTCCCAAGAACTCTAAGTCCTTCCAAAGCACCACAGTGTGTCGGTGCTGCCATAGATAAACCTATTAGCCTAGAAAGGGTATGAAGACGGAGACTTACACATCTTGAACTCTTGAACCTTTTTAATTACCATCCGACCTGGGTGGATCACACTCCGCACACTCCACTGCTTGGAGTCACTCTCAAGTACTGAAAAGACTAGAGATGTGACCCGCAGGGATGGTGGGGCCATGGTCGCTGGGGCGGATGAATAAGTTTCGCTCCTTGGATCGACAGAAGGTCTGACCACAGGGAAGGTGCCATTCGGTGCCCAAGCTTGATCAAAGAACCTGAATGTTTCTAAAAGCTTCTTGTTACTACTAGTAGGGCACCTGTTACTACTAGCGTGGCACCTGTTACTACTAGCGATGCACTTGTTTCCGTGAGACCATCGTCCGGCAAAGTGAAAGCACAAAAGGACTCATTATGAGCTGATGGCAGCCCAGTCCTCAGCGACCCAAACGAGAGCAAACGCCCACAAACCAGAAACCTGCAGCAAACGTTCCCTTTGGTTTTGGAGTTTATTTTTGTTTTCTGGGGAAGACTCCCCAATTACAACACGAATCTGATGGATCGAATCTATACCATTGATAAAGCCACATCAGCATGGTCATCAAACCTGCAGCGATGAACCGGAAGGGCTCCCCAGTTGCCCTGAACCGGTTTCAAGCATTTCAACTGAGAAACGCCAGTTGAAAGGCCCCATGACTTGGGGAATGGATTCTGCCCTTTTGGGACGAAACACCCAACAGCTCGCTCGCTCGCTCGCTCGTTCGAACGTGGCAAGTTTGGCGGGCCTCAGTGAAGGAGCCACCCACACCAAGCCATTCATGCCCCAATGCTACACCTGAAGCAAACTAGGAGCGATCGGACGCTACGAACGGGGCTCCTGGCCGTATACTACTAGGAACGGAACACGGACGCCACCAGACTGTCGAGTCCAGCGGAGTTTCCGATCCACCAGACTCAGACTGGACTCCGTGAACCGAAGCCGCGTTGCGGCGAACGGCCAGCACTGGCGGCGAATTCGTTGAAGCCATTCCCGATCTACATTTATCTACACGACCTAAAGTGCATGCCCCCATTGTTCGGAGGGAATTCTTTCAAACGATTATATAGATGGGTGGCCTTATTTCTGATAAGCACTGAACGGAAATATGGTCAATCCTTCATAGGAGACCCTTTCTTCCACGAGAAAACCGACAACCCATCTCCTTAAAGCAGTAAAAATCGCAAAAGCACCTGTTTATAGTGGGACCCCTCTGGTTGCCTAGAACAGGCGACAAAAGCCAGGCTTCCCGCATTTCCAAGTTTTGCCGCCTCACTAGAATGATTCGAACGCTCGTTCAGGGCTCAAGGGTTTGTTCCCTGCTGAGCCTGTCGCAAGCAACTTGTGAACAAAACCCTGCCTTATGGAACCATGCCAATGTTGGTATGTGAGCGCCATTGAATCAACGCGACGCGAGTTAAAGCGAGCGAGTTAGGACGTCACGGGGAGTTTCGAGATGTCCATCCAGTGAGTGTTCGGTGGGAAACTTCTGCACGACGTGCGGAAGTAGCCCAGGGCCAATTCGGCTGTTCACCAGCGCACCAGCGAATGGACCTCTCACGTGACGTCTTCTCGCCTCCGGTAAACACACTGAACGGCATAGATATTGGTGCTGAACGTTGGCTTGAACTCCAGAAGCATCAACTAGCCTGAACAAACGTCATTAAGCACCACTGAAGTATACTGAAATCAAACTGACTGCCACTCCTTGGCACTACTGCGACTCGTTAGCGCTGAAGTCTTGTGTTTGCAGGTGCATGGCCTTACTTCAACTGCAGGAGGGGTGACTGATTTCACTTCAGTACAACTCCGCCAAGCACGCCATTTCCTCTACTCAGAACGTCCTCACACTCTCCATGCTGACAAACCCAATCAACCACGCAGCTTGCAGTTCAATAGATTTCACATCGATGCCCATTGCATGAGGGTTCTACGTACCGTGCCCGCTTGCCTTAAAGCCACCGTGCCACCGTGCTCCTTCCTCTCGTCCCACTGATGGAATACCAAACAATCGGACTGGAAGTTCTTGATCTGCATTTGGGATCATTTGTGTGGTTTTTTTTTCGGTTTAAACTAGTTCATCATAGTTCATAGTGATGTTCTAAGGGAAAATGAGAACACTTCCAGCCCCTTTCTCCATGCCTTAAGGGAATTTCTCCTCTTTCTTGAGACCACCAGACAGGTCCGCACCGTTCGGGGCAGTGGTCAATAGAAAACGCCACTATGGTGGATGGATGATGTGGCAAATGCCGGGAAAGGAACAAGATGTATTTAAACAGGATTGGTGACCTGCTTCCTGAAAACACGCCCACATGCCAAGCAAATTTGCGTGAAAGCAACAGCCCCAGTAACGGCCTGTATGCACAAAGATGCAAGATGATTGGGCACCACCAGACGCATCCTGAGGTCCAAGCGCACCAGTTCCAAGTCTGCTTTTTGCACAATTCTTAAGCCTTGGCTAGTAGCTGTCCTTCAATGCAACTCATTACAACAAAAAACTGGATGAAGTATTGTGGTGCAGCATCTGGTCTCCTGAGATGACTCTTCCAGCCAACCAGCCAAGACATGGAACATGTGTAGCAAAGTGGCGTGTCACCGTGTCACCTTTGTAACTCAAAACCCCGAGTGCTTGTGATGATGGTTCTCGTGTGGCTGTTTGTGTTGCTGTGGTCGTTGGTGGAGGGTTCCAAGGGAAAAAACAATTTGCTGGTGCGGAGTCCTGGAACAGGTGAATCTGGGCATCGCTAATAGGAACAAAACAGGTGGGTGCTTCATGCTACCACATCCTTTGTGGTCGCTGCATCTTTGGGTTTGAACCATCAGCTTACAAAACCCACTTGATTCAGATGATTTTCCTCAAGCCCAGGACTGAACCAAAGGTAGACCCCACACGGATGCCGTGTTCACTTCCAAGTCTCTTCGCCCATGGCCATGCTGGGGTAGACTCTCATGCGATCGCCGCTGGCTGCACTGCGAACTGGAGTGACCAACTTCCTCAGAGGTACTGAAATCGCATATGTATGATGTAGACCACTATTATTCAGGTCTACTGAAACCTTGCCTGACCTAGTTGGCTTGGTGGAACAACGGTGGAACATGACAACATCTGAGGTAAACCGATCACAAACTAGCAGCCTTGGTACTTGCTGCATGGTGCTGGGACACAAGTGAGCAAGTGTCCATTTTCATTGCGTCGAAGGCTTCTACAGTGAGCTTCTTTGAACTTTCCCAGACAGCCTCTGGTGGGACATCTCATCTTCCACGGTGACGAAAGCCTGGTCAACCAGTCAACCAGTGACTGGCCGTGGCCACGGTGACGAAGCAAAGATCTGAGATTCAAAGACCGTGAGAAACCTTTCGTTTCACAACGCCCCGGTCTACCGCCTACCTCACGGTCTACCCTACCGGCGACTCAAACGGCGACTCCGATCAGCTGAGCGTCGGCGTTTGCGCCACCGACTCAAACGAAGAGGCGGTCCGTGCCGTAGGACCGCGGCGGCGCAGGCGAAGCAAGCGAAGACGCAGGACCGGCCCTGGCTAACCCAAGGCCAACTGAGCAGAGGTGGTGGTGCTAACACCCTTGTGAAGAAAGATTTATACATAATTCATACACCTTGTACTATTTTGTATTTTGTATAAACCCTTTCATAATGTCATATCATATTAATGAACCACTGGACACAGCACTACGAACATGACTTGTAGCATAGGCATAGAAGTCAGCGAGCTAGCAGCTAGCAGTTTTAGCCGATTCCACTATATCCATACTGTCTCTCCTCAATCGAATATGGCGGGATTCGATGTTGGAGTGTGGATGGGTGGAGGGGACAAAATGGACCCAACGTCGACCGTTTCGTGCAGCTGGCTACCCGAAATCACAGCTATCTAAATCCAAACACCCCATACAATATACGCCATACATGCCTACATTGACTCCCCAAACCAACCAAATTGATTGGTAACTATGGCAAGCCAGGCTTGGTCCTCCACCCAGTCAAAAACTGGGCATTCTCACCTGGACCCCCAAACAACCAAACTGAAACAGCTGTGCCATTTTGGCCGTTCAGGTTTCTTACATGCAAAGTTCTTATTCAAGGGAGCAATCATGCCCGGGACTGGGATTCCAAGCAAGCTTCTGCATGCTTCAAGCAAACTTTGTTGCAAGGAAGTGTTTTTCATCAACTGAGGTCAAATGAGAATGATTTGTTCGGGTCAACACATGCGACACGCGTCTGCGCGGATGTGCCTTGGCCCAAGGAAGCTGCAGTCAGCCACCGGGTCCCACCCAAACACTGCCCCGGCTCAGCGCGCCGGGTCCTGCGCGTGAAACCAACGGCCAGCGCACGAAAACGTCCGACGCCCGGCGTTTTGGCGGTTGAAAAATGGTTGAAAGAGGTCGTCGGTCGAATCGAGTGGAGCGCATTTCTCAGCAGGAGTGGCGAATGGACACTCCTTAACCTCGCCCAAGGGGCTATCAAATAGACACCCGGGCCTCATATAATGTGGGTGATCCAATCTCACAGAAAATGATGTCACAGTTCATCAGTTCCACGAAGAGCAGCTCTACTATGACAAGAGGGACCTTTTATGCCCGCCAGTCACACCACAAAGGATGCTCTGTTCCAGCTACTTTCGGCACCTGACAGCGGTGAGAGGCGACCATGCGGATGGAAGCCGCCCGAGTGGAGCATGAAGCGCCATGAGCGGTACATGCGAAGGCTGACGACGTGTTGATGGAGTTGAGTGGTACTGTGAGCTAATTTATACTTGCCTCCAGCCTAGGGCCTAGGTAAACCTCCTTTCGCACACACACAGACACGCATGCGTACACCAAACAAACACATACTGTACACCGATTCTTAAGAAGCTGAATAGTGGGAGCTGTACATCACGTTGTTTGCATGGTTGGTTGAATCAGCGGAGTTGCAATCCAGCCGCTGTCAAAGGCCCGAGTAGTTGGTTACCCTGTTGCATCCCTCCATCAGCAAGAAACCATCCGAGTGTCTTCGTTGGTAGCAAAGGCTGTCTGCCACCTGCCTGTTGATTATATCGATATATTATGTAGTCTTGGTAATATTATGCAATATTTTGCAATATTTAATTCATAGATATTGTACAACGAAATGTCGGTGCGCTGTCTAGTTCCCTCAACGTTCACACAAAGAAAGCATCGCCCACGTAGCGTTCCGCGTTCACATAAACATGTTGACGCCGTGAATACTTCCACAAAGACCCTCGACCATATGACATGGCAGGTCACAGAGGGTTTTGCAACATGATGCTTGTTGATGGGGGATGCAAGTGATGATATATCCGAGGTGGTAAAGACATGTAAAGACAATAACACCGCCTCAGAAGGATCAATTCATCGCCAGAAATTACGAAGTGCCAAGGAACAAGCATGGCGAAGCTGGTGAGCATGAAACGGCTGTGTTTGTTTCTCTTGTTGGGTTACTGTGTAAAATATTGTAGTGTAATGTAAGATCCTTAGTAAACCAATGGTTCTTGGGCAAAGAGCCTGAAATCAATGGTGGTCCAAATCCTAATTTACATCATCATCATCATATCTCCAACATCTCCAGGTTGGATTGCCACCTCGGGTCGGGCCCAAAAAGAGAGATGGACAAAGGTCCTTACACCCGACCTGGTGAAGGTTTGTGGACAAAGGTCCTTACACCCGTGACGAGCAGTCGGGTCCACAAAGTGGGTAGGTCCATATAGTTTTGGTTGACGACCAGTGTTTTCATCAGTGTCTGAAGTTGAAAGTCCAACTAACACTTGATGAACAAGCCGAAATGTTCCATCCCAAACGGCAAAAAAAGAGGCTGGTCGCTAAAGCAATCTGCATTACAAAGTGTGAACATGGATATTTTGCAAGTAAAATGATCATTGGACAACATAACTTCGGCCAAGAAACCACAAGTTCTCCTCATTCAATGTGAGGACACATTCTGACTCCCTCAAATTCCCTGAACAAACAAACACATCTGGAAAATAGAGGGAGGTACACTTTTTTCAGGTGGGGAACGCCAGGTTCCTGTTTAGTGGGGAAGGCAAGGCCCCAAAAAGGTGATCGACGTACTTCTGGTAGGCATTCAGGATATCAAGTTCAGCAGGACATGCCGAGGGTTCCACCGGGGCACACAGGGCCCATGGGGACGCGACGTCCGTGGTGACCTTTGAAACAAACATGCAGAGTGACCGGAGGTACTGGGAATCTCCGGGCGTTTGGTCCACGTGTTTTCAGGAAAAAAACAAAGAATTTCCCGGTACCGTACCCGTGATACCGAAGAAATTCCCGTCACAACTATGGTTGTGCGGTCCCGTTCCACCCTCTTTTGGTCTCCGTCGATCTATTCGCGTCAAACCGAAGCAGCTGCAGAATTCGTGAGTCACTGGTCGTGGAGCCGATTCTGAGGCAACGGACCTCGCCACTAGGAACGCAGCTGAGGCAACGGACCTCCCCAACAAACAAGAGCATCCGAGAAAACAAGAGAAAGAACGGTCTCCATACATTTGAACCAAACGGTCTGTGCCCTGCTGGGATGGAGTGGCAATTGTCCTTTCGAGAAACGGAGTCTCTTTCCGATGCTGAAGGATGATGAAGGGATTCCTGGATGCAGACAAATAGTATTGTATAAAAACAAACATTTTTGAACCGTGCAAGAATGATGATGATGACGATGACGATGATGATGATGATGATGATGATGATGATGATTAAGGAACTCTAAATATATAGTTAGAAAAGCTTTGCTGCCTGTTCGGAATGAGATAGAAAACCTCTTCAGGTTGAGTCCAGTCTGTTCAAATCACAGCCCATCTGCCACTGAAAGCTGCCTTTCTCAGAAATGGACCGCCAGCCTCACAAAAAAATAGAGTGAAACTGCAAAGCAGCGCCAACTTGCAAAGCTCTTCCGCAGTATCAAAGGGCAGGTGCAAGGGGCCTCTAAGAGAAAGAACACATATAATTATAGTATAGTAATCAATGGATTGTTGTTGCGAAGAAATTTCAGTTACAACAGTATCTTGAGGCTTAGTGACCGTGTTGCACATGAAATGCTTCAGAATAGTCTTAAGACACGTTGTGTGTTTGCAGGTAAGCATGTGTGTCGAGGAGTGCATGATGGTCATGCCATGTTTGCTTTCATGGAAGCGTAGTTCCACTGGGTAAAGGAACTGTCGATTCCGAAGCGCATGGTGCGGTGGAAGCACTCCAGAAAGGACATCTAGACTTAAAATAGAGGTTTCTTCAGAAAGTATCTACTCACAGACTGATAGATGTCAAGGTGTTCTAGTGACACATTCTTTCTGAGTCAAGTTGGCGGAAATTAAACCTCCACCCAGTTGTATAGCGCTTTGTGTCTTTCAAACCTGGAGCGACAACACGCCTAGGGTCTTGAGCGATAAGTATGTCTGCCCAAAGCCCTAAAGCTGTCGGAAGCTTCCCGCAGGTGTGCAGGTCTGGAAAAACATGGAAAAACATGGAAAGAACTGGACCGCTTAAGGTCTTGTTTTGCACAGCAGCCAGAAACAAAATGGACGTTGTGCCACATAGATTCTTGACCTTGGAAGATGGTTTGACCTTGTAAGATCATGGTCCAGATTGGCGAACTGGGAGGTATCGCAGGCTGGAGGAGCACTCACTGGAGGCTTCAAAACACGAGGCTCCACAGCTTACGCGTGACACGAATGGATGCGTGTCCGGACGCGTACGTTCGGTGATCTGACTTCGGTCGACTCCATGGTTGGCCCTTCTGAAGATTGAACATGACAGATCGTGACCCTACCTGGAGAAGTTGAACAGCCCCATAGCCTATGGCCTATCCCATATGGCTGTGGGTCAAAACGGTACCGCTTAGTTCGTCAACGTTCCAGTTCCACAACACGCGTCCGTCATCCGACTTCGACGACGAGTCGGGAGAATATCTCCCTTCATCCGGCATGTGAAAAGGCTTCCTCCGGTCCTGGCGCTGAAAAAGAGGGCCAGGGCCACTGGCCCCACTGCTGAAATGTGGTGAGTCTGCTGATTTTTTCCCCTGAACCTGGTGAGGTTGCTATACGTTTCAGCTATTGAAAAAGAGGGTGGCCGCCCTCATCGAACGTGTATCCCACACCAACATCATGACCACATCACATCTACATCGCAAACATGTTGCTCGTTTGGGCCCTGCCTGTCGTCAAACTTTCAATTGCTTCTTCTCTTTGCCTGACAGACAACCAAGCACGAAAACTCCGATAAATGGAAAGCAGGCCCCTCTGGGATGTGAGTCAAGCTGGCTTCTGAGAATAGGTAGTGGTAGTAGTAGTAGTAGTAGTGGTAGTAGTAGTAGTAGTAGTAGTAGTAGCAGTAGTACTAGTACTAGTGGTTTGCTTTGGAATAGGTTGCGCACATCCCCACTCATGCTAGGCTTCAGTTCAACCTTGCCGGCCTACGCCCGCAACTTGGAGGAGAGCGTTCAGCTTGGAATCCAGATTCTTTAAGTCAGCGCCTTGGAACCCAGACCTGGCCGCCTGGCCTGTCCATCCGAACCCGCTGATGGCTGGGCAATCATTCTTGCGTGTGTTGGCGGGACATTTTCCATCTTTTCCCTCCCCCGAAGGCGTCTGTGTTGGCTTCGCTTTTCATTGTTTGGACCAAAGAACCGTCAAACCCTGGTTTGAGGAGTTCCCTTTTTGAATCATTGCAAGGAACTGCTGCTCTCTTAATGTTCAAAAAACAACTAAATATGGGGGGGGGCTTATTAGTCTAAATAAGCTGTTCCGATCAGCATGCATCCCGTTCTTCAGGTGCTTGCATCACAACGGTTTCTCCTCAAATATGAAGGGAATGACCCCAACAGTTTATCCTCAAACTTGGAGAGAATGACCCTGAGGTTTCCACTTCAAGCAAAGACTACTTGGCCATTGGGTCATCCGATTCCTGGATCACCTTGTCTGTTTATCCTTTGAACCAGCCAAACAGTTCAGCCCAACATGTTTTGATTGTTCTTAATATTTCTTACTATCATTTTCCGCCATCTATTTTTTCCTTCTTCAGGGTGCGCGTGCCAAGCGGAACGAGTTCTGCTTCGTTCGCCCTGCCAAGCGGCGCATGGCCACTTGGTCCAACGCTCGCGCCTCAAGGCCGGCCATGGGGGAAATGGTGTTCATCTGAAAGAAAAAGAGTGGGACTTGGTAGGGGGAACAGCGGTTTAAGCTGTCTCCAGTCATTATATTGGGTCCAAACACCAAAAGGATCAACATGAGTGGTTCAACATATGTATATGTATATGTATATGTATATGAAGAACATATATTTATATATATATATATCTTCTACCCCCCAAAGA